CCATATTTACTGTTCATATTTATTTTTATCTTCAAAATTTTCTATTCGCTCTTCATATTTATTTTTTTATCTTCAACATTTTCTATTTGCTTTTTTACATTTCTATATTTACTTTTCTGTTTCCTTTTTATATTTATTTTTTTATATTCAAAATTTTCTCCCTGGGCTCAAACCAGTGAGCCCACAAGGGCCAGGATGTGATCCCCTCCATATTATCAACATGTAAATATATTATAAAATATATATATTATAACATCCATTGATTATATCGAAGTTTGCCCTCAGAGAATGACTCTGCCACAGCAATTTCCCCTCAATTTAAGAGCAGTGGAGAATCCACAAATCAACTGGATGTGTTGCCACAACATCCAAAACACTCTTAAAATTTGATTTCCCAACAAACTGGTGCCAGGATTCTTTAAAAACACATAAATACGTTAAATAAGTGAATTTCCTCCCACACTGAGCTTTCTTCACGATAACACTTCAATAATTTCTACTAATTTCTGCATAAAAGGCACCAAAATAACACTAAATACTTGTCACCACTTGATTACAATCTAAAACACCCTCTGCCACCACAAAGAGAATTATTCAGGTTGCAAAGACCAGCACTCAAGATCCCAATGTCACCTCCTTGTTCACATTAATTAATTAATTAATTAATCAATCACATTTTCTTTACAATTACTGGTTCAATCACAGCCCACACTCCTCATAGGATTATTCAGAGAGTAAGATTTTTACTTCCCCCCAGCTTAATATTTTATATAATGTTTTCTATTTTCTATTATAAATATTGTTATTTTTTTTTGCAAAAAACCTGCCAAAATCTGCCAAAAAACCCCCCAGTTTTCCAAACAGAAAACACTTGGTTTAACCAGCATTTTGAATTTGAAATTCAAGTTTTCTGTCACCAAGTCGATGCCACTTCAAATTCCTCGGTCTCCAATGAACCTTTCCTCTCTAATTATAAATTAAATGGCTTCAAATGACCACAATTTAAATTTCTATTCCTGTATCGATTCTTTTGTGTAATTTTCTGTTTCCAGCTCATCCGCACCCTCAATTAGGGCCATTCCGAGCCCATAAATGAGTTATTAGTGACACAAAGGGGACGGTTCTTTGTCTGCAGGTGCTTTAAAACAACTCCTTAAACTTAAATCGCATTTTTAACTCCTGGAGTCAAACACAAAATGTTTCTCTCCGGGAGAAATAAACGAAGGCATTTCGGGAAATCTCTGTAACAAAATGAAAAATTATTCAGGGTTTTTTAAATTTCCAGTGACTACTTAATATTTATAGTTACGATTTTACATTCACAATTTTCTATATATTTTTCTATTTACTTTTTCTATTTACATTTTTCTATATACTTTTTATATTTGCTTTTTATATCCACCATTTTTTATTTACTTTTTACATTCACATTTTTATATTTACTTTTTATATCCACCATTTTATACTTTCTTTTTAAATTCACATTTTTATATTTACTTTTTATATCCACCATTTTATATTTGCTTTTTATATTCACGTTTTTATATTGACCTTTTATATTCACCTTCTTTATTTACCTTTCATATTCACCATTTTATATTTACTTTTTCTATTTACATTTTTATATTC